GTGCACCCTGGGCAACGTATACTCATACGGCAGTTGACTTTTGACTTCAAACTACCATAACCTCATTGTATGTCATATTCCACCATTTCCGCAGTGCTCACCTCACCTTTTTATCTACCTTTGTGTCTGTCTCTTTTACATCTTTGAAACACTTTTCTCTTCCCTCCCCCCTCCCTCTCGACTTTTTTCCCTTCGATGTTCCTTCCTTTCTGAAGCTAGAAGTCAACTAAAGGGCTAATGATAACCATCAAAACGCCTGACTTTTGATATAAATGAATGAATAAATGTTTAACACATCCTCCATAACGTAAATGGGTGCGTATAATCTTAATTACCTACTAAATAATGTTCTTGATCTTGGATGGCAGCAAAATTGTTAAAAGTTCCTTAATAAAAGCGGGAAAATGCAAAGTCTGAAAGATGCTCAATTGAAAAATAAATTGATTAAATGTTTCTAAAGCTCAGATGAATTATAATTCACCTGAGCTAACGGTTCCTAAAAGTGAAATATGAACCATTGGTGGACTTTGTTTTTCCTCATAACGGGCTGTTTACCTATGATGTGAAACAGTTATCATTTTCTTGTCATGAATGGAGAATTAACTGAAAATATCATTAATTGCTCCCCATTCATTTTCTCAACATGGAACTTGATCATTTACTTACTACGATAAACGGTGCACGTATTCATTCTTATTCCCACAACTGGATCTTTGGATTACTTTACATATAAGTCCACCTGGCAATTACGTCACAAAAATGCTTGTAACAATTAATTAAGTAATAAATATTTATTGAAATAAGTAAATCAGTACTATTTATAATTATAATGCGGTTCAGACCAGTAAATGGTGAAAGAGAGACTCATTCATTCATTTCAAATATCAGGTGTTTTGATAGTTATCATTGGCCCTTTAGCTGACTTCGGGCTTCACTGAGAGGAGGAGGAACATCAAAGTGAGAAAAAGTCGAGAGGAAGGAATATCAAAGTAACAGGAAGTCGAGGGGTGGGGAACAGAAGAGTTATAAAAGAGACAGACACAAAGGTTGAAAAAAGGTGAGATGAGTACTGTGAAGGGGTCGAATATGAAATACAATGGGGTGATGGTGGTTTGAAGTGAGAAGTCAACTACCGGTTAATAGACTTTTTAAGAATACGTTGCCCAGGGTGCACCACGTGGAGGTAAGTCTAATATACATTGCCCAGGGTGCACCACGGAGGTAAGTCTATTGCACACCCCATGATACCTATCATAACGCCTGCCATTTGAAAGTACGTTGTCCAGGGTGCACCACGTGGAGGTAAGTCTATCGTATTCTTAAGAATAATTGTTTAGAAAACCAGCAAGGGTTGAAAGTTGCCCAGGGTGCACCACGTGGAGGTAAGTCTATCGCACGCTGTCCAGGGTGCACCACGTGGAGGTAAGTCTATCGCACACACCCCTCCGCTTCCAAATAAGATGTTGATAGTGAAGGCATATTTCCAGGGTGCACCACGTGGAGGTAAGTCTATCGCACACCCACTTGGCTCTCCCCTCAAATTTCAACCCTACACGGATGGGCGAAAGAGAGACTTGATATGCAAATATAATCTAGTTCCAGGAAATCATTTAATAGGTACTTCTAAATAAAGATCTATTAGCATTTAAGTTAACTATTGCAGAATTTAAGAGTTCTTTTGGTGTTTTGCTAATTTTCATTAATTTTTACAAATTCTACTGCTTTTAATGTTCATAGCTTTACACCGAATAATTCAATTATTGTTCAAGGTCAAATTAGGCTTCTACTGCTTCTTTCTATTGTGACATAATGGACGGATCACCAAGTTAGTAAAATGTATTTCTCATTTATGTCATAGTTATTTATGCTTAATGTAAACTTTTTTCTTAGATTGTGTATTTAACTAATGGTTAATCTTTTGATTAGATCCCTTTGATAAATCATTTAAATTGTTATTTTTCCGCTAAAATAAATCATTATGTTTCTTTTTATATAGGCCAAACACCTAATCAGTGTGCAATTATTCCAAACCCCCAAGATTGTTAGTTTTCTTTTCAAAATGCATAATTTGTTTGTTTTTCTAAGCCATTTTTTCTATTAGTAAATGAAACACCCCGAAATATGGACAATTCGATCTACAAATTCGCGGTCTGCGAGAATCTTATTTATCTGGGTTCTCTTCAAGTTATTTCATCTGGTGATTCTAATGAAATTCGTAATACCCTAGTGCAAATGGTCAAAGATCACGATGCAGACATTATTGAGGGTTCGGCTCCTCCCAAGCCTCTTGTTTGCATATCATTCTTCATTACCGATGAATCTAAATTTAGGTATGATTTATAGATTAAATTCGACAGCATTTATTTTATTTTCTTTATTTTTCTATCCGTATTTTACTTAGCATTATCAATCAGAAAACAGAGGAGATTATTGACACTTTCGATGCCTCAAAAATTGTCTATCGAGAAAGCAAGTGCGTTAGAGGCACTCATGGATTTGTTGTTTTCGTTTATCCGCATGCCGACTCGGTTTCAAAACAATTGGAATACTATTGTTATGTTTATCAGTGTACTTCATTTTTCGAAGTAAGTCCAACTTCGATTTTAATATTACCTTATCTTCTTGTTTTAGTCCTATATCTGATATATTTAATTGTATTAACTTTGTTTCAGTATTAATATTTCTACATAATAATATTTTTTTGAAGTACGATGCCTATTAACGATTTCTCGTATGGTAGTGTTATTGAGATGGTGTCTTTGTCATTCCTCTGGTACTGGATATAAAATGGAAGTTTTCGCTCCTCAGAGTTCCGACTTCATATTGGTTGGCACATTAACCAAGATTCCATTTTAAGAAACGCAAACAAAGTTATCGAGAATTTGGAATATTATCATTTCCTCCCAATAACGTGTTTATAAAAACGCCCGAGACTCGTCTAATTTGTTAGTTGACGTTAGTGAATCGTCATAGCTCTAAGTGGCTTTGCAGTTCATGTTACTTTATTATTGTGAGTTTTTTTATTGAAAACTGTCATTATTTTTTTCTTGGATCCCTATTAAATTTTCATCGTTAACGAATCAGGTAGGTTCTTTAAGGGTATTACCTACATTGTTATAACCTGTCAGCTGATTTCCAAAAGAACCATTGAAGGTCACTCCTCGCACACCTAAGTCTAATCATAAAATACCCATTTCGACGAGTTTTGTTGCTTTATTTATATTAATTTTAGAGGTGATGGAATACTTAGATTTAGAATTAATAAGTTATTTTGGTTGTCACGTGGTAACTACTATTTACTAGTCAAAATCGATGTTCATAGTCTAGTCTGGGTAAAAATTTGAGCGTTGTGTTCTATAGTTTATTATTATTGATCTTTATCTTTTAAATTATTGTGTTTTAGCTCTAGTATTGGCGTTTTGATTTGAGTGATAAAAGATATGCAGCGAAATGCATTTTGCAATTACCAACCTTAAAAGTACTATAAAATCATACCTCCAAACAATGCGGAATTTTACTAATTAATTGAATTTAAGCTAAGTTTGTGATTTTTTTCTTACGTCTACTCTTCTTCAATTAATTGGCCTCGAATGTATTGATATTTGTTTCATTTACTGGATTGCCATCAAACTTGTGACCTCTGCCCCCTCCCCCCCTTCAGATATGCACTTTAGTAAGGTGAGAATGAGTTGTCAGGTGTTTCAGGTTGATATTATTTTTAGGTTGGTTGTAAGTGATGACTTTTCAATGCGCGCCTATACACTAGGTGAACAATTGGCTTGCTGGAGTCATCAGCTTCTAGTAGTCATCTTCAGTCAAGTAGGTTGATTGCTCATGTGTCTTTGAGTATTGTATCCATGCCCTCTGCAATGTCAAAATAATACTTGATAAGCTTTACTCTTGGAAGAGCGTTTGAACAAGGCCTTCGTAATATCCTTGTGAGTACATTTTTCGGCAGGTGGGTCTGGCTAATTGATTGGTCCTTCATTCATTTATCTGTTTTGTATTTTGCTGTATACACGAGCGGATAAATGAAGCGGGGAACGATTTTGAATGTTGTTAGCTTTCTTAAGTGTTTAATTCCTCTGTAAACACGTGCGCTCTTGATCAAAGTTCATGTTCCAAGTCCTTCACTTTTTTATCTTACACTTATTCGCATGCATCTTTTTGTTCGATTTTCAGCCTATTTCGCAAGTAATTTCTTTTGCGACATCGCAATGAATCGTTAATCTCCATTCGTTTTTTTTGTCTAAAAAAAAGATTTTTTTTGGAGTAACTGCTGGTGAAGAATTTGGGGATGGTGCTATTAGCTTGCCTTTTATAAATACCTGCCTCCTGACAACATTCGAGTATTAGTAAAGGTAAATCATTAGACCGCTTGTCAAGTTGCTTCTACCCCTCAATCCCACAACTCTATGGAATCGCAAATGTATGTTTCCAGCACTATCGTGAAATGTGCAATGCAAACAGTCGTTCACGAATGATTGAATTAAAACTTTCAAATCTACCCTCCTATAGGCTAGTGGACCTCTTGAGAACACCCGAAGCACACACACACCCGCACACTCACAATGGTCCATCGGACTACTTCTAGGTCGAAATCTTCACTGAGATGTGACTTCTGCGTTTGACTGCTTTCCGGACACGAATTATTTATATCTTGGCATTTTTTACTGCAAAAAAATAACCCTCTTGTGCCTTCGATTTCATTTGTCAACACAGCACTCTATTTGAGTGATTGCTTCTCACACTTAACTCGTGCCACTGTTTTATCCAGTCAATTGTGAATTTCCACTTCCCTTATTTGTCCTCCTCTTGCCCACTCAGCTCTTCAGTACTGACAAATGATCGCAGTTTTTTTGTCTAAAGTAAACAATGACTTCGTATCGAACCATTTTTGGCCCTAGTGACCTCTGTCAGACCATTTGATATTATTTGTATGCAGTGGGAGGAAAGAAGTCATCTCTGTTGAGAAGTTTTCCTGTTTTTCTCCTTATTTTTTTTTAATAACTTAAATTAAAATTAAATTAGGATCGGTCCATTTGGTCGCAAAAATCTTTTGAATTATTAGTAATTTGCGGGGCTAATCTATGTCGCTTGTGGGTGTGTGCCAAAGATCCGCCCTCTTGTCCGCATTTTGGTATTTCAAATCTCGTCTTTGAAGTTAATCTCCACTTCTCGCCCCCTCATTCGCGAATTCTGTCCCGCTCATTTGAAATAACGATACTTGGACATGCGCTTAAGGGGCCAATCCGGGCACAAAGTCGAAAGAATTTGCGTATTGAGTTGCATCACGGAAGGACTTCTATCACGCTTTTTGTGAGCACCCCTTTGGAATGCTGCCCCATTTGAGCCAACTTACGCTCACTTTGTCTCTTTGCTACTTTAAAACACGCGGTTCAGAAGTGCTCCTTTTGGTGAATGCAGCTACGTTGATGTTCATGACCAGAAAGTTGAGGACTTCTAATGACCAGTAAATTGGCTTGTTTTAACCTGATGTTAGTCTTTCTCAGATAGAAAAAACGAATTATTTCTAGAAATATGTGAGATCGTGTGATTAAAATGTGCAGTCTACTTGTTTGCTTACCTTTTACCTGCCTTTGATGGTGTTCTTAATGCATTCCATTTTTATTCAAGAAAAATTAAGCGAACAATTTGCTGAAAACCTTTCATAAAATTTTTGCGAAGCTGCAAGCTCTTTATCTTGCATACTATGATTGCTATCTGGGTAACTACCTGGTGTTATTGCGTTTTTAAAATTGGACCCATTTAAGGAACTGATTCGGTAATAACAGTACGTTAGCTTACTCCTTCCTCAACCGCAAATGTCATGTCAACCTCCTTGAAATGGTCCATTTTTTTTAAAATTTAATGCAACCTGTTGGTTTTTTTGCGAGAACTCATGTGGGACGATTTACTCTCTGATTAGTCTACTGTGAAGTGTTTGTGTGTACGCACTTTTATCCAGTCGGCACTCCAGCCCATACACTCCGGGGGATAAAAATTCAATAATCAATAATGAGTGCATTGTGAGAATATCTTCTGACGGGATTTTCCACTCATCCTCCTAGTATCTCATACTCCACCTTAGAATCGATGACTTTGAGAATGGCATAGTGATCCATGCCAGGTTTCTTTCAACCTCTTAATTCGTGGTTGAGTTGGTTCATTCCGGAACGTTTAAGCTTCTAGAACGTTCCATTGAAAGGTCCTTTTTAATCAGCCCCTTTATGGTGGAATAGTAAAATGACTATAACTAACAAAGTAACGCTATCGGGTCATCAGAACTGCGAATCATCAATAAATGGAGTGATTCGTGCTGATGAATTGTTGTATTTAGTAGGTACTGCACATTTTTAGGCCTTGTCACCTGATTAATTTTTCACGGTTTTGTCACATCGGCTGATGTAAACACTGTAGAGTTGCCTCTTTAAGTATTGCACCTAAGAGGATCACTTTCACATACCTTCAATGCCAACGGCTATTGGCAATTATCCTCCAGGCACCTGTCAAGTAGCTCACTCCTATTTCGGTGTCAATTGATTACTACCCTCGCAACGCGGTGATCATGTTAAGCCACTTGTATATGACATTCAAACGTCGGCTTCTCGGAGATTTATTAATCCCTAAGGTTATATTGGCTGTTGGCAATAATAACAAAATTCCACTAATAGAATTAACCAAAATAATTAAATACTCCGTGTTAATTGGTTGCAAAGTGTATCGGTATCTCAGTTGGAAAGTTGGAAAACGCGCTTTCTCTCCGTTTATTGAAAATCTCTCTGTACTATGCCGTAGAGCGTATCATTTCAGATTAACGAATTTAGCCTTACTCAATATGCCAAAATTGACATGTGTCAAAGTGTTAATTTTGTCACGGGAAAATTGTATTTGCATTGTTAATGCTATTTCCTTAAACCCTCTCACCGGTTAGGCAACGTATCGGCTTTAATTAAATTGGAATTGTAAGTTCTTGCAAAACTATGAAAATATTTGTCAACACTATCTCTGCCAATGACATTACTTGACTGTCACAATAAGCTAACTTCATTCTTCCTCACACGGCAATTGCAATTTGGGAAATTGATTTAAAGTCGATATTTTGCGGACCTATTGACTCCAACCTTGGCACACATTCTTTAAAATACCCCACTTTTGTCATCTTTAAGGATTGTCTGAAAACTCTTCGGGTTTTATTGAAATAACAGACAATTATTCGAGTGCATTTGCTTATATTTATTTATATCAAATGGCAGGCGTTTTGATAGTTATCATTAGCCCTGGAGCTGACTTCGGGGCTTCACAGGGAGGAGGAGGAGGAACATTAAAGTGACAAAAAGTCGAGATGGGAGACAGAATAATGATTCACAGAGGTAAAAGAGACAGACAGACACAAAGGCATAAAAAAGGTACTGTGGAAGGGGTCGAATATGACAAATAGTCGGGCCATAGTAGTTTGAAGC